GGCACTCGACACATGCCCTTGTAAACCTTGCCACATACTCTCGCAGCGACTCGCCCTTCTTCTGCTGCATACTGATCAACGAGAGGTAGGACTTCTTCTGCACCCTAACACTTGCAAACTGATTTAGAAAGATCGAGCTAAAACCATCAAAGTCCTTAATCGACCCAGTTGGTAATTGGTGGAACCAGTCTTGGGCCGATCCTGTCAGAGTCGTCAAGAAAGCGCGACATTGCACCGGGTCGTTGTAGCGGTGAAGCACTGCCATGTTCTCAAAACTCCTCAGGTGTCGAGACGAGTTAGTGGATCCATCGTACCATATGTTCAACTCCCTGAAGCCTTTAGGTAAGTCAACCCTCATGATCTGTTGTGAGAATGCGTGTTCCTTCGCCACTCTGCTCTTCCTTCCCCCGACTCGAGCTTGCAAGTCGCGGACCTGGGCCAGAAACTGCTCCAACGTCTCGTCTCTCGCCTGCCGGTTGACGGTTCGAATGGAGGATTCCTCCTCATCCGCCCTTCTGTTTTGTTGCACATTCAATTGGGCCCGCTGCTCGACACGAGACTGTTGCTCGACCCGCGGGTTCTGCTCGACATGAGGGTTTTGCTCGACCTGCACCACTTGCTTCATCTGGGCAGCCACAGCTTCAGCGATCATCTTTTGCATCTCGCTCCTTGTCATCGTCAGAGTCTGCTCCTCGATGCGGGGTTGTGTTTGTGTCTGCTCCGGCACCTCCTGGATTTGCTTTCCCTTGCGTCGAGACATCTCCGTTAACTTCTTCTCTCTAACATTTGGATTAGGGTTTTGACTTGTCCACATCTGAGTCAACACTTGTACCTTCACCCCAGGTGGAGTAACGGGCGTTTCTCCACCCAGAGTCATTCCCGGCGGCGGAAGTCCTCCAAACGGTGGTAGTCCCAACATCTGCATAACCGGAGGTCTAGGGCTAGAGAGTGGTGGTGGTATCCTGTCTGTCCACGCTCCCCTAAACTCGTCATTCAAATTCCTATGCAAACCTTCCTTCTCAGCCATCAGAAACATATCGGAGCTAGGTTCAAAGCTCTTAATTCCTTCAAGAACTCCCCACAGACGGCGCCAATATGATGGGTCTACTTCCAGATCTGGAGTGAAGTAGTGATAAGAAGCTCAGATCTGTTTGAATCGCCTTCGAACCGTTGCTAGACCGAGAGAGAGAACCTGCAAAAACTCAATGCCGGAGGTGTTTTCGGCATAGAGCCTCCGACGCTCAAGTCAGTATGTGAGAGAGAGATGAAGAGAGGCTACGCAGCAGCTATGAGGGAGAATGGAGAATGAATGGGAGTTAGGGTTTAGGGTTACCTCCTCTCCTCTATATAGGAGGAAACACTTACTTGAAGTACCCAAAATGCTCCGGTCGGTGGATCTGAAAGGTCTAAATTGCCCCGGTCGATTCGTCTCACCTTGCTGCTGAGTCATCACAAGATTCCTTCCTATCCTTTGGAGAATGCAGAGCCTTGAGTCTGTTACAAGTGTATGAAGTCGTCAGTGTGCCTCACGTCTCGAGGTAGGAGGAATCGACATCGAGCATGGACGAGTCGACTCAGGATCTTCTAGTTATTCGGAGGCTACGCTCTTGTTGGTCTGCCCAAATGGATGTCGACTACAGGGGAGTCGACATGTTCAAGTTGACTTGAATGGGATCTGCCGCTTCTCGCCATTAATCATATGAAGAGTCGTCTTTGAGGAAGTCGACTTGAACATGTCGACAGGTTCAGGTTGACATGTGAACGGTTTGAGCCACTTATCCGGTCGAGTAGAGAGCCTTTGGACCGGTATATCTTTATATGGCTATATCAGTCGGGTTAGGTCAGGTATGAGTTTTGGCAAACACGAACCCGACCCGCATATAATTTACCCTACCCAAATCCGACACGTTATCCGATTAGTGATCTTCGGTTCGGGTTGGGTGTTACCTGACGGGTTAGTGGGTTTTCGTCGGGTAAACGGGTAACCTGAGTCTTAAATTTGGGCTTTACCCGACCCATCTCGTTTCATATGAAAAAATAAAATGAAATAATTTCGCAATTAATTATAATGTAACAAATAATTTATTAACTAAGTTTGACAATACAAAAATAAAAAAAAAATTATAATTTTGTAATAAATAATAAAAAATAATTATTTATCTTCTATAGTCTATTTAATAATATAGTATTTAAAAATTAAGTATTTAATTTTTTTGTTGTACCATTAACAAAAAATGATAATAAAATCATAAAAAATAAAATAAAANGAGAGAGAGAGAGAGAGAGAGAGAGAAAGGATCATATGAGAATGATTCTTAATGTGAAAAATGAGAATAAATCTAGACCATGGGATCAAGCATATCAATGGTTATGATGAAGTCAAACTAAGTCAATCATTAATGGCAATTCAGTAATTATTTGATAATATTGTGGTCAAATATATGTATTTGACCAATAATTAAGGGTAGGTTGGTCAACACATAAATTAAGTGGGACCCACTCATTAAACAACTTCACCCCACCTTTTCTCTCTCCTCTATATCTCTCTCTCCTCACCCTCCTTTCTCTTTCCTCAGTCTCGTTCTCTCTCCTCACACCTCCATAAATCTGAACAGACCCAACAACCACTCTCTTCTCTCTCCTCTCTCTCTCCTCTCTCCTCTCTCTCCCCGACCTTCAACCTTCCCGACCCTCCCCTTCCGACAGCTCATCACAGTCGGCCAATCCTCGTACACCAACTGCAGCCATCGCTCCGCCGAGTGCCGCCGCCCTCTGTCGACGGCCGTCACTTCCGGCCATTTTTCAGATTTTGTTGGACGGCGACCGACGGTGGACTGTGGCCGTGAATTTCGTCGCGGCGATCACTGGATGGCATCGATGGTGGATTGTGGCGGGGGCAGGGTTGTGAAGACGGGACCGGGCGGACGGTGGCCACGACGATCTGCAACTTCAGGCGAGAGTCTAATTGAGTTCATGGGTACATTTGTAATTAATTTAATTATATCTCAATTTAGTCTTTGGGCCAAATTCACAATGTATGAGAAATCACAGGCTGAAAATTATAATATTGCTACATAATAAAAATAAATAATAATAATAATAATAATAGAATTTTTTTGTTATCTAAATAAAATCAAAGAAAATTTTGGTTTCGACATAATTGGTTTAATTTTCCAGTTATAACCGACATAAATTATTATTTATTATAAAAAAACATGATTAGTATTTAATATTATTTTTATTACGTTTTATATTATCAATTTTAATAAAAAAATTGTATATATGTAAATGAAATATACGATGCAATCTAACAATCATTAAGGTGCAATTCGCACATCACTATGGTGCATTTCACACATCACTATGGTGCACGGTGTCTGTTTGTACTGTGCAGATTGAACTAACCAATCTTTTGTCCCAAATAAAATTCAAGTCGAACATAATTATTTGGTTTATTCGGTTTTGTTAACGGAATTATCCTATTATATTAAAATTATATTTATGTTAATAAGGTTATTTATTATTTTTATATCATTACTGGTTGAAATTTCTGATTTCGACCGGTTTCGGTGTTTTATTGTGAAATCTGATAGTCGGTATTATTAGTATTTACCAATAATAATATGTTAATAATTTTATTAATTATTTTTATATTATTAGTTGTTGAAAAAAAAATGTGTCCGGTTGGTTTCGATTTTATTTTGTACAATCTGGTAGTGGTGATAAAATGCAGCGTGTTGTTTTGTAATGTACAACGTTTTGTTATATAAAGTGCAATATGTTGATTTATAAAGTGCATTACTGAGTTTTTATACTAAAATATCTTAAACAATCAAAATAATTTTTTTATATTAAATTTATTTTTAATATATTAGTAATTTTTTTATTATTTTTATATAATTCATGGTTGAAAATTTTCGAGTTCGGTCGGTCGATCTATATAGTGTAATCTGATAATCGTGATAAAGTGCAACGTGGTGTTCTGTAAAGTGCAACGTGATGCTTTATAAAGTGCAACATGTTGATTTATAAAGTGCATTACTGAGATTTTATAACTATAAACTTAATAAAAAATAATAATTCAACTGAAATATAAAATATTGAACCGAAAATTTTAGTTTGTTTATTAATATTGTGCAATCATATAGTTATTAACGTGCAATCCATACAATTATAATGTCCACTTGCAATACATAAAAATATATAAATCATAATAATAATATTTTTCATATAGCTCGACTCTTTCATTTTTTTATCGAAATAATCAAAATTTATACATTTTAAAATTATAAAAATAACTTTACTTCATTAGAAATTATCGAATTCAAAATAACTTAAATTTTAAAAATAATTGAAATGTATAAGAAAAAACACAAAAATTATGTTTATTTCTTTTTTTTTTCCGGTACAAAACACGGAAGGTTATTTCAATTTTGATCGCTAATGTGCGGTCAGACACACATTAACGTGCAATATTTCTAACACTAATGTGCAGTGTTTCAGCCGATAATGTGCGGTCCGACATACATTTATTATGAGTCTTATGTTATTTAATATTTTATATTATTTTTATTTTCTTATTATTTAAAATATATGTATAGCAAGCAAGAAAGCCAATATTCTAAAAGTTCCAAAGTCTTCTCCGCTTTAGCAACCCCCAAAAATCCTTTGCCGTCTGTTAGCAAATGAAATCCTAAATTTCTTTCCAGTTTTTTTGTAGATCACACAGTAGGCAACCCTCACAAGCTCGCCTGCTTTCCTGAACCGGATTGCACTGATCAGGTTAGGCAGATATAAGTACGTAAAAATAATATTTTTTATTAACTTTATAAAATTTCAGATTTAAACCCCTACACATAGTCAATTTTTTTAAAATTGCTAATAAGCCCCTACACATTATCAAATTCTCAAAAGATAACCAATCCCTAATTTTTTTTTTTTGGCAGCTTGTCTTCTATTGCAGGAGATTGCCATGGCCGGCCGCCCATGTCGGGATCGACAACGAGGTGTTCCATCCGGTCGACCGCGGGTGAGACGATGCTGTGAGTGGCCCTCCGCCGCCGCCGTGAGGGGCTCTGGAATCCGGTCAATCGCGACCATCGCCGTGCGTCTGTTCTAGTCGGGCTCGCCGGCAAGCTTTGGACTCCGGTCGGCCGCGAGCGCCGCTCCATCTTGATATTAAAGCGGCGGACATCATGACGGCGTGGCTAGATCGGCGGACATGGACGACGAATAGAGATGTCGGCCTCCATGACGGGAACCTTTCTGAACGGCGGCGCCGCAGAAATCAGAAGCCGGCGAGAGAGAGATTCTTACGGCGGCGCTGGTGGCGGAGCTGGAGATGGTCCGGCGGGAAGGCCACTGTGTGTGTGTAGTGTGTGTAGTGTGTGTGTTGTGCGTGTAAAACAGATCTGTGTGTGTGTTGTGGGTGAAATAAAGTGGGTCGGTGGGTGGGGTAGGTCATAGGTGGTTGGTTGAATTTAATTAGATGAGTTATTATCAGGAGGGGCCCATGGGTTAATTGAGTAGAAAAATTACCACATTATCCTTAATGTGTTTAAAATATAAGATATTTTTATAGCTGTTGGATCGTTTGATCCGATGACTAAAATTTATTCTTATTTCTCGCATTAAGCACCATTCTCATGTGAGCGTGACCCTATATATATATATATATAAGATTCAGTGGTTGCGGGTAAACGGGTAGGGTAATCGGGTCGGGTAACGGGTTTTCTTACTATACCTGCACCTAACCCGACCCGGGATTCGGGTAGCATAATTCTACCTAAACTGAACCCGAAACTCAATCATCTCGGGTTTACCCGACACGAAAATGCGGGTAACTCACGGTTAACCCGATCATACGGGTTGTATTCACATCCCTAGATTTACATTACATAAATGCAACAAATCAGTAGAAAATGTTTTTCTATTATGTATGATACATCCACCCAGTGTTTTTCAACCCGGACCGGCCCAGCGGGTCGACCCGGAGCGGGAACCGGTCCCGGTGGGCTATTCGGACCGGGCAACAAAAGACCCGGTCAAAACCCGGCCAACCTAGCCTTGACCCGGTGTGACCCGGGGCATTGACCCGACTGGGTCAACCCAGTTGACCCGGCCCCTATATATTTTTCTATTAAGTTTTTATTTTTTAAAATATTTTTTTGTTTGTAAATAATAAAACTATGTATAATATATTTATATGCTAAATATTTGTCATGAAATACATATTATTAACACTTTAACGTACAAATTTTATATGCAAAACATTTATTTTTGTTACTTTTATGTATATTTATATGACAAATACTCTATATATAATTTAAAAATTTTTAAAATTAATTATTTGGTTCAGCAATTGAAGTGTTTTGATAATATAAGTCTGCATTAGTGATAGTTCGCGAACAAATCAAACAAAAAACGTTGTGTACATAAAATGTTCAATAATTATGATTTTTTTTTGTTTTTTTTTTTGACCCGATTTTTTTAAATATATATACATATAACAAGTCTATTAGTTTAAGTATAGAATATGTTAAACATTCAGTAAAATATATCATCCCGTGCATTGCACAGGTCACAGCTACTATATTGATAGATGTTGATGTAATAATCTAAAATAGTAGTTTTGACTTTGTAATTAAATAAGTTGACTTACTCTTAAAGAAAATATAGTAAAAAATATTTTATTTTTATAAAAAATAAAAATTAAATTATACCTACATGTTGTAAAGCGTGCAATCCGATTAATAACATGACTTTCTATATAAATAAAGTGATATTAATTCTGAAAAATATTTTGTGATTAATATCGCAATAAAAAATCGATTCTTCATATTAATTACGAATCAGTGCAATTTTTTTTTACTCTTTTCGTAACCAACCATACAACATGTCTTAAAAAAAACCTCTATTAAATATATTTTTTCTTAGAAACTATTAATTGAATATGCACGATAAGATTGCAAATATTATTACAAAATAAAAATTGAAAATCAATTATAGAAGTTTTATTATGATATTTATCAAATGTACATTTGAATCTTATTTATTAATAACAGATCACGGTAATTTCTTATTCATTTGGTAACCAACCATATGCTACAATATGTTTCATCGTATCCTTCAAAAATCATTTAGTTTAGAATCTTTTGAATTATAAATAACTCAACCGCTCCAGTTTTTCAAAAATTATAACCCTAATTTTTTAAAATATCAAAAGAAAATAATTTAACTATTTATCTTTACTAGCAAACAAATTTTTATCCTTAATAACAAATCATGTGTTCTCCTGTTTGCTGGGTATCCAACTATATGTAGATCGAAATATACGTAAGAACATTGCAAAATATAAGTACAACAAATGTAGAAATCAATTGCAAAAATCTTATTTATATAACTACCACAATACTATAAAATATTGATATCTCAACATTAATAACAAATTTATATGATTTTCTATTCATTTCTTAACGAGTCATATATCAAAAATCATTAATTCAAGAAGTTCAAAAATATCTTTTGATTTTATAAATAACTGCACTAAACCAACTTTTAAAAATTCATATTGTGATTCACAATATCATAACAAGTCTCATAAATTAATAGATTAGAAAAAAATTAAAATATTTATAATATTATAAATTTTAAAATAAAATAATATTAATGTAATTAAAATTAATAATTTTTGAACTTCAAATAATAAATATTACAATCTTTTTCAATTAAGTGTTGGTTATAATATTTGCCATAATTTTTCAACTTTAGTTTAACTTATTTAGAAATTAAAATAATATATTGTAACAAGGTATGGATAAGAGACCATAGAGAGAGATAAGTATTCTCTGAGTATTATTTATTGCTAATATTTGAATATGTTAAATTTTCATTATCCTTAATTATAAATAGGATCGAAAATGACAACTATTTTATAACGAATGAAATAATCATATAAATATATTAAAGTATTATATATCATACAATAAAATAATAAATAATTATTAATATTCAAAAAAAATTTATATTAATCAGTATTGCTTCATTGTTTTAATATATTCAATTATAATTATTGCCCCGTGCATCGCACGGGCTACGTACTAGTGATGTTGTAACATAAAATGATTTAAATAACATTTAAAACTCCAACAAAAATATATGAAAATGAGTCCCTAATAATAAAACACTAAGTAACTAAATAAGGATCTAATGTATATTATAGATGCATGAGTTCGTTATTTATTTATGTTAGATTCAAGAGTGATTTTCTTTCATTTTGGTTTTGACATTCTCATAATAAACATTGTGAAAATAGCTATTTTCACCCCGTTTTGAAGTCCTACCAAGTTTTTCATACCCCCCAGTAAAAAGCTAAGTTTTTCACCCCAGAAAGTACGAACACATATGCGATGAACTAGACGATAGATAGACGACCGGTATGAGCATGGGCGAGAAAATTATGAGTTAAAGTATGCGACTGTTCTGCGACGAATATGCGGAGATTCGATGTACGATTCGGTCCGTCGCCCATTAAATAATTATTTTCTTGTTAGGCGAATGAATCTGCGACTATTAGTCGAGAAAATTATTCGAGGGGGTATGCGAATTGTCGCATATTGCTCGCATACCACATTCACACTTCTACTCGAAAGTTATTTTTTATTTCTTTTTTATTTCTTTCATCTTTCAGTTATTTCATCTATGCGAGGAGGTATGCGAATTGCCGCATATTTCTCGCATACTGCATTCGCACTTCTACTCGAAAGTTATTTTTTTATTTCTTTTTTATTTCTTTCATCTTTCAGTTATTTCAGTTATGCGAGGGGGTATGCGAATTGCCGCATATTGGTCGCATACCCCCTTCGCACTTCTACTCGAAAGTTTATTTTTTATTTCTTTCATCTTTCAGTTATGGCTTTATGCGAGGGGTATGCGAATTACCGAATATTCCTCGCATACCCCCTTCGCACTTCTACTCGAAAGTTATTTTTATTTCTTTCATCTTTCAGTTATTTCAGTTATGCGAGGGGGTATGCGAATTGCCGCATATTGCTCGCATACCCCCTTCGCACTTGTACTCGAAAGTTTATTTTTTATTTATTTATTTTTTTCTTTCATCTTTCAGTTATGCGAATTGCCGCATATTTCTTGCATACCCCCTTCGCACTTCTACTCGAAAGTTTATTTTTTATTTCTTTCATCTTTCATCGTTAAATTTAGTTTAATTTTTTTCTTTCAGGTATGAGAATAGCCACATACATACAACAAACAACAAAAATATAATATAATGCAAAAAAAAAAAAAATGTATTACATGAACATGAGTCATTAAAGAACTTGGACGATAATTGTTTCTGGATCTCTACTAAACTGAAAAATATGTCGAGCAATTTTGCGCCTCATGTCCGTAGCCCACAGCTGGTAAGACTTGTCTAAGAGCTTCATCCCCGTTAGCAAAGTTCGTACCATCTCCACAACGCATACACCACAAGAAATTCTATCATCTTGCAAGATAGTATTTTTGAGGTTCATGAATTTCAAAACGAACTTTTTGCTCACCCTCTCTACTCCTTCATACGTCGCAATAAGTGGAATTAGATTTTGGATTTTTTTGAGTGCTTTGACGCGGGATTTGTGAATGTGCTTGTCCGCCTTTTTTTGATACATATGCCGTAGGGGGTCAAACACACATATCGTCCCATCGAGTAAAAGGATCTGGAAAGCTACGTAGTGCTGCGACAAGTTCGCAACTCCAATAATCTGTTGAATTGAGTTGTGAGAAATTCACTAATTTTTTAGGAAAGATTGCAATATTAATTGATTCGGAATCATTGAAAACCTACAGATTCAATCTTCCCCCAAGTACACCGATTCCCCCAATCGCTGACCCCCTCATTCGCATAGCGAATAAAGATTTGGAGGTTGTCCGAGTCCGCTAGCTCCTTTTTAGCATGGACCTCCTTCTCCAATTCCCCCAGAATCCACTATATAAAATACAACAAAATAATAAATAATAATGTAATTAATATAATTATTAGTAAAATTGGAATGACAAGAAAAAGACAAAGGATTAAAATAATCTCACAAAAAACGTAGTCGGCACGATGGTATAAGTGCCCAACATCTTGTCCTGTGGCTGGAACCCCAAAAATAGTGGATTGCTTTGCATAATC